ATTACTACATTTGTTTATACTTATTGTGATGAAAATTGGAAGTACTACTTTATATATTTCTTTTTTATTTTTCTATTACACTATTTTGTTACTTTTTTCCTTGCACTTTTTACCCTTTTCTATTCTATTTTCTTTCTTTTAGTTTGTATTAGATTTACACACAAACACACACACAAACAAATGTCATATAAATTATTCAGCTAGGAAATGAGTAAATATCGAAGGATATTGAGTTATTACAAATATATTAAAAGAAATAAAACTGTGACTTATACAAACAACAATTATATATAAAAAACTGAAACATGTAAAACATGTTGTTTTCTTCACATGTGAAACAGGAAGACCCTGTTTCATAGTCAGAAAGAATGAAGCTAATGTCTTACATGTTAATTAAGAACAAGTTCTGAAAAGTCTTTTTAAAAATCATAAAAATGACTGCATTGACTTTGATGTTACCTGCACTGCTAACATATTATTAGATATAAAATGACATTAACATCTTTCTGCCTAAGAACCTTAAAAATATGCAAAGCCTTTAGTGCTCAATTATATATATTTTGTTTTTATGTACTAGTTGCTCAGAAAATGTCAGTTTTAAAGAGAAATGCAAACAATTCAATTAGCAATATTATAGGTAGACGCTATAAACAACTGTTATTATCCTACTTTTCATCTGAGAAGAAAATAAATAAAACAATAAATCTCAAAGCGCTTCTTAAGCAGTTGCTCAAAGCTAGAAAAATAATCAGTGTCACCAATGAGAACAAAGCAATTTACATTTGCCAGGTGTGAATAGACAGTTTGCAATCCCCAGTGGACTCCCTGGGAAAAGTTCACTAAATTGAATACAAGTGGCATGTGGGGAGCCCAGCAGCCAAATGACTCAAAGAGTATAAAGAGATTGGTTAAAGAGGTGGCAGGGAGGAAACCACTATTCCTGGCAGCCAATTAACCCCTATATGGGCAAGGCCATGGGTGAGCAGATGGAGATTCTATCTACTATTGTGTGCTCCTAGTTCTTTTATGTGGAGTCTCCAAGCATGTTGATTGTTAGTTGGATTGTTAGTTATTTATTGCTAAAGCCTATGTGCATAGGCTTTAGTAATAAATCAGTTTAATTGAACTTTCACATGTTGACCTAGTCTTTCATGCCTGACATTACAATAAGTATACTCTGGAATACACAATTTCTGACTGGGATAAATCCATGACTGGGGAAGCAGACATTATACAACCAGTATCGCAGGATATCAATTTTCTCATAATGGACCCAAGAGATACAACCTCAGGTCTTTCCCCTAATTTCGGCCTACTAATTGCCCTATCTTGCACCAATTCATTGTATCTCTAATGAGTGAGTAAAATTGTGGCCTCCTCAGACCACAGATTATTGAATAAACATCCACACTAGAAAAAAAATTGAAAGTGCTTATTATATTCTGTTGTTGTCTTCAATTAAATATAGTATAAACTACTCACAAAGACTGTAAGCATGTCAACATTCTATGTACATAAAACATTCTAAATAACCTAACCAAATAAGAGCAGAAATATGAGACTATTGTCAACAAGCATATATGTACAGTTTGCTAAGACCCCCAAATGATATAAAAATATTTTGTTTACTATGATTAAGAGGCCCATAACCTCTATACTATGTCTGCTAAGGATTTTTTTTTTTTACATTTAAACTTATTGTAACTAATTAGCTCTTTTTGTCTTTGGGTTCTCTTATTTTATTCTCTTTATGCTAAAAATAAAAAGTTTATTTTGTTTCTGTGTTTATTACTTCTATAGTAGAATTAGTTGCTTGGTGGCTCATGCTCAGACATGTGTGTATGTGTGTGTATAAAATGCATATGCATATGTATATATATAGGTGTGATGCATCAAACTTGTGTTTCTCTCTTTCCACATATAGATACATGCATATATATACATGTTTATGTATGTACAGCACACACAAACACATACACAGAGAGAGACAGAGAGATTGCATTGATTATTAGTGTGAGGTATTTTTTAACGGAAAGCCTTCTTTGAAAGCCTACCTTGTTTGCACCAGCAATTTTTAGTGTTGTTAAGCTACTGCAGAAGTAATACAATGTCACAGTGATGGTTGGTTTGATGTTATACATCCCTAATGTGTCTGCTATTATTGTAGCTGATTTAACTAAAGGGTAGAATGATGCTGGAATTTGCAGAGCTTTTTTAAAAAAAAACTATATTTTGTAGAATTTTGCTTCACACATCCCTTTACCTAGTTTCTGAAAAGACAGATGGCTATAAAAACACAACATTTAAACACAACATTGAGGAGAAAGAATTCTTGATCACGGAATATTTCTTATCATCAAGCTTTAGTATTATCTGCCTCAAAAATATTTAAGAAATCGAATAAAAACAAATGCCACCAAATTAATAGTCTCATATTTATATATTCTGTCCTGAAGGCCTTTGTAGCTGATAACAGAGCTCTGGATCGATCCGGAGCTCTGTTATCGGCTATAGAAGCCTTCAGGAAAGCCTTGCTGGCTGCAGAAGAAATGGGCTGAGGTGAGCAAGGCCTGGCTACAACTATCGGAAGCCGAAAAAGTTCTTGAAGGCCTCTGACAGCAAAAAGGAGGCCGGGGATGTCATGCGCAAGTGAGGTGAGTCAGTGGACGACATCCCCTCCCCCCAAAATAAGACCTGGTACCTTTTTTGGTGGAAAAAAAATATAAGACTGGGTCTTATTTTTGAGGAAACACAGTATTATATTATCAATTGGTAAAGAAGTGATAATAGTTGTGATTGTCATTAATTTCTAGAAAGAAAGAAATTATTAAAAAAAATAAAAATAGGCAATATTGAATATGAAGGGCCCGGTGGCTCAGCAGACTGATAGCATTGTGATTAACACCAGCTGTCTGCAATTACTGTAAGTTCGAATCTCACCAGGCTCAAGGTTGACTCAGCCTTCCATCCTTTCTAAGGTAGGTAAATTGAGGACCCAGTTTGTGGGGGCAATAAGCTGACTTTGTATAAATATACAAAAGTATGAAGGCTATTGCTTAACGCATTGTAAGCCGCCCTGAGTCTCCGGAGAAGGGCGGCATATAAATCAAATTAAAAAATTTTTTTAGTCAAATAAACTTTTAGGATTCTTACAACCTTGCTGCGTGCATAATAAGCTGGAAGCAGTCATTTTTCATGCATCCAGTAAAAGTGCATTCTCTTCCTTTGAAAATATAAGGTTGCCTGATGTTGATATCCCTTGCTCTGATTATTTTGTAAAAGTCAGTGCTTAGAAGGCCTGATTCACACGGGCAGTCTGTAGCTTAGCATACTAACTAAACTTGGTTCCTGCATGGTTCAGCACATTTTCATCATAAGCCTAAGGAGAAATTGCAAGGATATCATGAAAACTGGCTGAAGCTATCAGTATCTTACTGTAAGATGTGAAACATGATTAGCATTTAAATCTGAATCTGAATCTGCATCTTTGGAATAGCTCTCTGAGTTGTCTCTTATTGTTCTCAGAATAATCTCAGATGTCTTCAGATCAGAGGCAGTCCATGAAATTCTAAGAAAATCAGTGTGAATTATTATGTGTCTCCATTAATTGGAACAAAGGGCTCTGGAAAGCTGTATGAATACAGTATAGATAGTTCTTGATTTTCAGTCAGAATTTCCATTGCTAAGCAAGGCAGCCATTAAGTGAGTCAGGGTTCAATACAGGTAAGTCCTCGATTTACAACAGTTCATTCAATGACTGTTTAAAGTTACATCAGCACTGAAAAAAAGTGACTTATGACCATTTTTCACACTTACGACTTTGCAGCATCCCCATGGTCATGTGATCAAAATGCAGATGCTTGGCAACTGGTTGATATTTATGATGGTTGGTGTGTCCCAGGATCATGTGATCATCTTTTGCGAACTTCTGACAAGCAAAGTCAGTGGGGAAGCCAGGTTCACTTAACCACCAGGTTACTAACTTATTAACTGCAGTGATTCACTTAACAACTGTGGCAAGAAAGTCGTAAAATGGGGCAAAACTCACTTAACAAATGCTTGACTTAGCAACATAAATTTTAGGCTCCGGACTACCTGTATTGTGACCTTTTTTTTTGCTATAGGTGTTAAGCCATAGGTGTTAAGCCAATCCTTGCAGTTGTTAAGCAAATAACACCATTGTTAAGCAAATCTGACTTCCCCCCATTGACTTCGCTTGTTGAAAACCAGCTGGCACAAATGGTGATTACATCACTCTGGAACACTGCAACTATTGCAAATACATGCTGGTTGACAAGCAACCAAATTTTGGTCACGTGACATGTGAGAACTAGTTGTAAAATCACTTTTTTGGGGGTGCCATTATGATGTTGAATGGTTGCTAAATTAATAACTTAAATTAATGTAAATTAAGGACAACCTGAATTGGCTTCATCAAATTGCCTTCAATAATAAGAAAATGTGACTTAGTTGCAAAATAAATCATATTAGAGATGTTTCCCATTTTCTCAGTTGATGATATTTAGATAATATACCTTTTAACCTGCAAACATTAACTTGCAGTTCTTAAGTATAGGGGATATTATTTGTTCCTAAGCAATAAAAACACATATTTCCAGAAGCAGGACATTTTACCTGTTTCATGGTATTTCTCATATAGTATTTAAACCAATTTGAAGTATATAGAAAAAGTAGTAAAGGGAGTATAATTTTAAATTTAAAATTGAGGGGGAGGGGAGAGTTGGGAGGAGATATGGCTGGAAACAAGGGAAGAATCCCTATTTTTATAAGGTCCTGCATGTTTCTTTAAAATAAGGTGATCAGTTTAAACACACTTTAAAAAACTTCTTGAAAGTAACATATAGCGTAGCTCTTACAAGAGCTCTTACATTATCTGTGTGCTGAAATAGTTTTTCACTAGAAGGACAGGAAGAGACATAGTAATATTAACCTATAAAAATAATTTAAGTGATATAGGAAGAATTGTTATTACTACTCACCCTAACTTCATATTCATTATCTGAGTAATCCACAGACTGGCAGATATAGCTGTATCCTCGAGCTCTTGATGACATAAACAGCTGAAAGAAGGAATTCAACAAATTAACATTGCAAAAATTTGTCACTTAAAAACAACCTTTCTAAACTAACTAGCATCCTTTAATAAAGCTTCGGTTTCAATTTCTGCTCTCCTTTTCCTCTCAAAGGGGCACTTAAACTCAATGTGTCCTGTAAATCCTAGGCTGCTTCCTTTGATCTGGGGCACCTAATCCCTATCGAGGTACCATGGAGCACCATCATCAAAGCTTTTGGTGTAAGAGAACATGAAACTTATGTTATTTATTTATTTAACTTAGTTGTTGTTGTTTTTCTATTCCACTGAAGACTTAAGGCATCTTACAATTATGACCACAAAAGAAAGCAAGAACACCTCAAATAAAAGCCTACAAATACCATAAGTGGAAGCATCCAAATGATTGGTGGGGGGGGAGAAAAGTGTTCTTGGTGCTTTCTCAGTTTAGTTGTTTTCTTGCAGATATTTCGTTACCCAAACTAGGGAACTAGGTAGCACTGACAGCACTGATGATGTTACCTAGTTTGGGTAATGAAAGTCTGCAAGAAAACAAGCAAGCTCAGAGAGCACCAAGGGCCCCTTATTTCAAACCTGAGCTACAAATATTTTCTTTTATTGGATTGGAAAAAGACAGCTATCAGAGGCAAAAGAGACTACTGGCCAAATGTAATCCTTATTCTGTTGCAGTTCAGTTTCTAAGCTATTTAAGACTTTCAACACTAACACTTTAACCCTAACACTTGTTATTATGCCTTAACCCAACAGCTGTACTACTTGAATTTATATATATGAAATTAGATCTGTCTGTCGATATTCAAACCAAATCAAACTTAAGTTTTTGTCCTAAGCGTATTCCTTCTCCTGGTCCTTAACGGTTTTTGGAAGTGGCTTTCAGCATAGCATTAAAAAAACCAAGCATGTTCTTTAGCTTGAAAAATACTGCTAATCCCTGTCTTAATTTCTAGGAAGTTCCTGGACGCTGCTAGAAGGCACCAGGTTGGCAAAGGGTGCTTCACGCAACTTGTTCCTTTGGCAAAGCCCTTCCCCTTATGTCCAGATTACTCAGCAGAAAGAGGATTACTGCTGTAACAGGATCTGAGCAAAAGCAAGCTTCTTAATACTCTGTGATGAAGTGCAGCCCCGCCTTCACATCAATAATTTAGAAGGAGTGTAGTAATAATTACTGCAATAAAACTGGACATTGAATGTATTAGTGAGGGATCATACCTGTCTCATTATACAAGCACAATACCGGACTGTTGCTTTTATGTATGGATGGGTTCATGCTAAGTTTGGTATAAACTATCAGTGATACAGCTGCCAGGATATCTTACCAAATGACATTATAGACCATGAACAGGTACACTTTGATAGCGATTACTCCTCGTATTGGTATTCCAGCCATCTACTATTCCAGCTACTTAGTGCACTATGTTTGTTTGTTTTTGTTTGTTGTTTTTGGATTAAACAACATGATTTGATAATGACACCATAACTAGGATATGAGACATTGGGCGCAACGTTATAGAATTCTGAGGCTCTTCCTACTGCCTACACAGTAATTGGCTCTATACATTGTTATGGACGAAACCTCTGTCCCTAAAGCAACCAAATCACTTTGAACTGATTAAGCAGGGATCAGTACAGTGTACACCCAGCTCCCAGCAAAGCAGAACCACAGTTTATATATACCTCTGGCCTACTACATTTCAAAGACAAGACAAAGGAAAACGCAGTGTAAATAACAACATGGCAATGGAATGTTTTTGATAAACCCGTCTGAGTGAACTTCTCATTATTTACTCCTTCGTACTACGTTAGTGTGTTATAGTACCTCTGAAATATGGTCAGAGAATAGCAACTATTTAGTTTACTGAACTACAGGTTCTTCTCCCTGTTGCTATTCAGGGTCAATTCAGCATGATGTATATGTTTTCATAAGGGCTCTTTAAGCAATTCACATGTCTTGGGGGGAGGGGGCATCTCATAGGTCTGGTCCTAAATGCAGCTCATACAGTCTCTTTTATCACCACCACATAAAATATTTAGAACAAATAAAAAAATATCAGGAATCTTCGTGGGGGGAAAAAAGAGAAGAAGAAAGACCAAAAAAAAAAAAAAAACCTTCACCAAAAATTGATGCTAACATTCCAAAATGATTGTTTATCACATCATTTTTTTAAAAAACCCACCAAGATAAACATCTAATTATCTAAACATTTAATTATCTAATGTTTCTTTCAAGACTCAGGCAAGATTTTTTTTTAATGCTGGAGACTAAGAGCAGCCCTAGATTTGTCTGCTCAGCTGGTAGAAGATGGATTGCTGAGACAGCCATAGCCACTTGCTCTTCTGGTAGATGGCTCAGGATGTCTGGTTCCTAGTGGAAGCAAATTTGTTATGCTTTTGCATACTCTGCAAGATGCAATTGCAAGCACTGTCTGCTTATACTGTGCTTTGCTATTGTTGCAGATGTTCTGATACTACCTCTATATTTGTGTTACCTTCAACAAGGGTTTGTTGAAATTAACCATAGGAAATGAATTCTCACATAATTCTACACCATAAACCATGGTTTACATAGATTTCATGTAACTATGCTAAGCTAAAACCAAATAAATCATGTCAGGACTTAACATAATTGGTAGTGCTAAATAATTCATGCATGTTCCTGAGTTTCGAATGGGCGTTATTAAAGGGATTTAATATTGTTTCTTGTCCTGCGCAGTAAGAAGCCAGTTCACAAACTTCGACTCTGCACACTCCTGCATTTCACTCAACAATGTCAATGAAATTGATAACTGAATGCAGAAACATCCACCTTTTAATTGCAAACCAGGCTGGCCAAATATTTGTATTTTCACCTGAAATAATGAGTCACAAGAACAGGTTGTCCTCCAGTTATGACTGCCCATTGCAACCGTAATTCATGACAGGTTGTAAAGTGTGTGACTTAATTATCTTTTTTGCAGCAATCATTTAAGTGAGAACCAAAGGTTTGCTAAGGCATGGTTTATCCAAAAATGGAAGTAAATGCTGGTTTTCAGCAAAACCATTGTAATATGCAGTCATGTGACTGAGGGATGCTGTAAGTGACTGTAAATGTGGCTTAGTAGCCATTTGCCTGAAGTACGGTAACATGATCGTGTGGGGTGGGCACATTGGAACTTGAAATCCACGTAAGTATCCCCTAGGTACATCCATTAGAAGTTTGAATGGTGACCAAGCAACAGGTTGTAAATTGAGGACTACCTATAGCAAATCTGGCTGCAGTCCTAAATAGTACTCTCTTGCAATTATACATATTGTAGTCAATGGCACTGACTTCTGAGAAGACAAGTATAAGACTGGACTTATATGTAGCTATCTTTATATGTGCATTACAGACCTATCTAATGTGTGTCCTTATCCATGTACAGCATGAAAGCAGTCGTACCTCTTTGAAAATATAGAAGTTAAGTAGGACCATTCCAAAGTTGTAAAAAATCAACAAAAAGCGAAACTGGAAAGGCTCTCTTGTCTTCATCCATTTAGGCCCAAGCCAAACAGCGAGGAGGTATAATGTGCTTATTATCAAGGTTGGAAAAGGTGTTTGCATCATAGGCCAGTTTTCAACACGTTTATCTGGAAGGAAAACAGAAAGAATATGTCTGAGAATAATTGGCTTTTGCATCCTGTTTTAAAACAAATTCACATACATGGGGAGCCTGGAGTGTAATTGTTTTAGCCAATCAGTGGCATTTTCCCTCTTTCCCCTAGATTTCGGTTTCCTCCCCTTTTTTGATGGGACAATAATTCTGTAGGCTATGTGTCGATTTTTGCTTCCTCTCTGAGGATTTATTTTTTCCAAAGATGTTTGATACTCCTGCAAATTCAAGCTGCCTCTCTATGGGTTTTTGTTTTAGTCACAAAACAATGTTGCTTTGGAAAACTGATATTACCATTCCAATGCTAAGTCATATGGACAAAATTGCAAACTAAGAGTTTTATGTTTTTGGTTACATTATAAATGTTACAAATGAGTACCACAAATATTTAAGTGGCTTTACGACTTGTATTCGCAGTCATTTTTTTATACATTTAAACAAAGGCTTGATGTGTAACATTTAATCCAAGGACCAATCCTGTGAGTTGGGTTTACATACATTGCTATTTATACATACAGATCATTTTAGAGTATTAACTTTGCTTTTGACATTAGAACTGTCATATTCTGTTGAACTGATGTGAGAGGTAAGAACTTTTGTTTTTCTATCGCATATATAGACCACTTTAAGAATACATATCATGAACTAAACTATGTTTTTTCTTCCAACTATGTGAAACCAAGTGACATGGTATTTATAGCCTGAACATGCGTTACCATTTGCATCAGTAAATTATTTGACAAGCTGACTGTCTTTTTAAAAGTCCCATTGGTCAGTACAGAGCACAAGAAGTTCAAAGGACAGAGATCAGTTCATAAAACGTACATGCACATAATACCGAAGAATTTTATCTGAGGATTACTACATGGTGATTGGCGGAGCCCCATCAAAGCTGACACTAGCCTGAACATAAAACAACTCAAAGAAATAGTACAAGATCAAAAAATGTAGAGACCTGGCCCACAGAATCGTTAAGAGTCAGACATGAATGAATGGATAATTTCATCATCATCAATTCGTGGAGGGGAAAAATGCTTGGAAGAATAGTCATTCTTCGACATTCCATTGGACTTGCTTAAAGACAACTTCCTTTGACACATGTTTGAAACTAACTGTAGCAGGAGGAGATGTAAATTCTGAGAGTATCCAGGAAGAAAAAGTTAAGGCATTAATATATATAATCCTAATAGAAAGGGAAAGACATCAATAGCACACCATTAACAGAAACGGTGAAAAAAAAGACAGATTAGGACTCAATAATGCTATACCTGGGTGCCTGTAGTAGTAGGGTTACCTTGCTAATAATCTTCACATGCTTTGATTATGCTATGTGAGTTCTGGAGGAGAGTGGAGATTTGATAAAATTGATAACAGTTCACACAATCGAATAGGGATATGAGAAATCAAAATTACTGTATTTGAGAAAGAAGAAATTATAGATTGCGCTCAACAAATATTGCTGGAAGAAAATGCTGTAGTCACCTCTCAAACAGAAATTGCTGTCAAATTCCATGCATCTGGGCAAGATCAAGGAATCATGAAAAACACGGATTGTTAATCTGGAGTCAATGTATAATCCCGGAAACTGTAATAGGAATTCCCAGCCTAATTTATAATGAATTAATTAAGGTGGAGTCTCTTTGAATTCTTTGAAACATTTCTTCCCTTGGGCTGAATTGTCATTCCATAGATAGTGCCTGCTCTGTTTTATGATATTATTTCTGTCTCTTCCTTTCCCACCCTCAATTTCTCACATTATGTCACCCATTGATAGATTAAAGAGGAATGGGAGAAAGTTGCAACTTTCTTTGATTCCCCTATGCAGCTGGGACTTTTTTTAGATAAGCCTTTTAGCAGAAAAATCTCGTTACTTGAATATCGACTTTTCAAGTGAAATTTACAAAACAATTCGGGATTATGCCTATTAGGTTTGACTAAAAGTATTTCTATAAACCGAGCTGAAGTCTACATACAAATGTACAACTGTTACATACAGTTTTGATTGACTCTGTGGAAAATGTAAGTTGTATTCTTTCTTTTAGCTGCAAAAGGGACCTTTTTAAAACTAATTTTGTTCAGCTGACTACATATCTATCCTGATACACCTGATGATATCCAAAAGGAGCTGCTGAGGAAGAGGTATGTAAATATACACGAAGGAATATAAATATGTATGAATGAAAGACACAAAATTTCTTTATAATTTGACATACACATTCATTGGGACAGATTCACAGGGAAAATTGCTGGGGGAGGCCAATCTGTGGTTTGAAGTTTACACCAAGGCTCATGTGATGTGATGTACTCAGTTCCAGAATTAGCTGAAGTCTGGTGGCTTCTTTGTTACAGCAACAGTTGTCTCTGCCATAACCAGGGGTGAAATCCAGCAGGTTCTGACAGGTTCTGGAGAACCGGTAGTGGAAATTTTGATCAGTTCAGAGAACTGGTAGCGGAAATTTTGAGTAGTTCAGAGAACTGGCAAATACCACCTCTGGCTGGCCCCAGAGTGGAATGGGAATGGAGATTTTGCAGTATCCTTTCCCTGGAATGGGATAGGAATGGAGATTTTGCAGTATCCTTCCCCTGTCACGTCCACCAAGATACACCACGCCCACCAAGCCACGCTCACAGAACTGTTAGTAAAAAAAAATTTGGATTTCACCACTGCCCATAACTATTCCCAGGCTCCAAAGATAATAAGGAAAAATTAGGCAGGTTGAAAAAATATCAGCTCTACTATAGGTATTATACAGTAAATTTTTGACCGATTAGAATGGGCCCCATTAGAATTGTTTCCCATTAGAATGAGAAACAAAGACAGTAGTAACAACAACTGGCACTGAAACATAAAAAGAATTATTTGCCTCCTTTGATTTCATCTGAAATAAGTCTGGCAGTTTTCTCATCACAAATTTCTCCCCCTTCTGATCTCCATAGGATCGATTTGTCTAAATATAAGTTTGTCACTTGATATTTTCAGAAACCACAGAAACTGTTTGCTTCCTTTGTTCCTTAACACAATATTAAATATTCCTTTCTTTGGGGAGGCAGCAGAGGTGAAAAAAATGACAGCTTGGGGGAAGTAAAAAGGAAATTGATGAACATAATTTGCACAGGCTGTTTTTCTTCCCTTGAACAGAAGAGCTCAAGTCCAAGGAATTATGTTAAGCAATTATCAACTGTTGCAGGCCTAACATTACATAAGGAATATCCTGTCCACAGGGATTTGACAGATTTTGAGCACCTAAAAGCTACACAGATCCATCCAAAGGTGTATAAGGTGGGGCCACAATATTCTAAGGGAAAAACGGGAACATGATTTAAGTTATCAATGTCTCAACTACAAAGGGAAAGAAAATGTACATTGTAATCTATTATTCTGTGTTCACAGCAACTGATAAAAAAATATGTATCAGGTGCTAGTATTCAATCGCATTCATTTTGCGACTTCCTTTGCTGTCACAGATGATGATAAATCTTCTTCTGATCATCACTCAGTCAACAGATGTAGTCAAAACATAATTTTGACCTAGGGAACTCTTATAATGCGGGGGATACATTTGCACTTTACTTTTCTGTTGACGAAACAAAGCAGCTTGTAAAGTTGAATTGACCTTGTTAAAGTAAAAATGAGAGTTCAGATAGCCTATTCGTTTTGGAACTTAAAGCTTAATTACATAAATATTTACTAAGGAATAAATGCCAAGCTCAGTACTTATTCCAAGTACATGAATATAGGAAGAAAGTCACATTTTGTGAGATGGGTGGCTATATAAATATGATAACTGAATGAATAATGAGCCTTATTTGCTGGAAGTAAAGAACTCCTCTAAGTACATTGATTTATCTTAGACTTTCCAAGCAGGCCTCCTGCTCATTGTTGAACTGCAATAGTCATTACAATTTCTAGGGATTATTTCTGGAACTGCTAAATCAATCAAGAGTTTTCTTCAGTATTAGCTGACAGACACAGAGTTACTCAGTCCAACATGTCAACACTGCATTTCTCTGTGCTTGCTGTTATTTCTTTCAAAGAATAGATTTCAACTGTTTCAAAGAAGCAGCTACATTACTGTCTATTTTAGTATCTTTATCACTTAGTTTCTAGGAAATTTTTCTTATATTTAGCATACCCATTTTAATGTAACAGCAGAGTTGCTCTGTTCATAATTTTTTTTAAAAAAATCTATAAATCTTAACTATAAATACTTTTAAATATAAGAAATATTAAAATAGAATTAACATGGATTCTTCTTGCTCTCATCTGACAGACCTTTTCCCCAGGTATATATCAAACTTTTGTCACTGTTCCAGTTTCCTACAGTTATCCTTTTTCCATAATTTTCCTTACTATATTCCTGTGCTAAAATTTTCTATTTTAGACAAAAATCAGTAGGGTATCACATATGCTGTCATACATGTATTCCTTGATGCATGATTGTAATAGAGCCTGACCATTACTGTCTCATATGTCATTATGGTTGTAAAACAGGTTGGTCACTGTTTTTACGTCTTTTGCAAACATTGTTAAGCAAATGTAGTGGTCATTAAGGAAACCAATGGAAGTAAGTGCCAGTTTTTGGCAAAACTACCATAACACACAATCACAAGACACTGCAATAAGTCAAGGACTACCTGTAGAATTCAAGATGAACTAGTATCCTGAATCCCCTCAATGCAATAGATAAATAGGCCAAAGCAAACAGACAGGAAGGAATCCCAATCCATTTGGTTTTAGTCTGAGGAATAAAACTGTGACATATCAGATAACAGTTTGCACTATTTTTCAACAGATGGAAAATAGATGGCATCCACTTTTTATAATTCAAATGCAGGTATGAATGTATAGATTTTTATTCTATGTTGCCATCGGAGTTTGGCTTCCAGTAGACTTGGTGGGCATGGCAGGGGAAGGATACTTGGTAGTACAGTGGTTTAATGCACCCTGTTATTAACACAGCTGCCTGAAATTTCTGC